AGTCGTAACCACTACGCTACATTGTAAATTTGAAAAGAGGCATTACTGCTGTAGGAAGGTGATGTGGGGTTGGGAGAGAGACAGATGCCAGTAAAGTTTTCAAAGTGGTGAAAAGTTTCTTAAATGTGGAATTATTCAGTACATATTAGTAAGCACAAGTAAACCCATTCTTACCTATTTATTGGGTAATCTGATAGTGCTTGTAGGTATATTGATGATACATGTAAGCTGGGCTTATGAAAAATGGTTTTGTTGTTATAATTGTTAAGTGCTTTTGAGTTGGTGCCAACTCATAGCGACCCTTTGTAGGGTTTCCACTAACTACAGGGATGTTTTTTATAAACCAAAATAAACTTCTGCTGGAACATGTCACAAAAAATGTTATACACAGTGCTTTGGTGTCACCTCCTCTGACAGTGTCACCTGGTGGGCACGCTCTCCTAGTAACACCATTGAATCATCCCCCCCAGGAGCTTTTAGCATCCAGAGGAAGGAAGACCCAAGGCATTGCTGGCTTCACCCCCTTTCCCACTTTGGTGGGCTGGAGGAGCCTTGAGAAGTGCCATGTGACTGGTTCAAGGTCAGCAGGGAGTTACGTGCAGAGCCCAGGGTCTCCCTCCCTACGCATCGGACTCCACTTCTTGTTGCATTCCTGCTAATACCCCTCATTGACTGGAGCAAAGCTCTCTGACTTATAAAGCAGTTTTCTATGCACTGCAGACAAAGCCTTGTTTGTATTAAAGCACTCTGCGTAGCATTTGCTTTTTAGGCTTTTAGACATCCATGTGAGTACTTTGCCCAAATATACAGGGGTTCTTCAAAAAATTCATTAAAAAAATTCTGGTTTTTTGTCCATTCCATTTATTTCCACTAACATTCTGAAGCCCCTCGTACATCTTGGTGAGCGTGGTAGATTCTTACTTACGCAGAAGGTTGGGTCAGGTAACCCAAGACAGCATTTGCAGCTGTAAAATATTATTCAGCCTGGAAAACATGTATTTATAAAGCGTGTATCTATCAAGTATAACTTTATAAATTGACAGGAACTCTGGTAGCATTGTTAGGATAGTCACTGGACTGCTAACCACAAGGTCAGCAATTCAAACCCACCAGCTGCTCCGTGGGTAAAAGATGAGTTTTTTTTGCTCCTGAAAAGGTTGACAGCCTCGGAAAGCCTATACAGGGTCTCTAGGAGTTTTTATAAATTGAGAGTGGCAGTGACGTTTTCTCAAAGGAAAACTTGGTTGCCATTCTTGAGGAAGCAGGCAGGAGTGTTGAGTGAGGATAAGCAAAGTTCTGTGGTTACCAGGGTCACAGAAATGGAGTGGCAGAGACCTAAGGGTAAAGCTCAGAGTTATGAATTACTCAACTGTTTCGATGACAATTTCAGGTCACGTCATCTGCTGTAAAGTAATACTTAAGGTGCTAGCATGTTCTTTATATATATATTTTTTTTTAAGGTTTTTATTGTGAATTGAGTGAACGTTTGTTTACAGGGCAGGTCATCAGTTTTATTTTCAACAAATCATACAACTTATTTCATCACAATGATTACAATCCCCTCCATGTACCATCAGTTAACAGTATTTCTCACTATTCACTTTAGCTCTTTTTAAAAAAAAATACTCAGGCATATATAATAATTTACACCACCAAAGAGCACATTCTGCAAGTCTGCCTCCTGGCTGCCGCCTCTTAGTCCCTCTCTTCCCATGAATCCAGAGTCCTCAGCTGTTCCCCTCTCCATGTTCCCATCTCTGCTTCCATCTCTGGTATCACTGCTTCTCTGGATAGTCTCACATTCCACTTGTGCTCTCTCCCTTGAGGGTCCCAGGGTCCTCTGTTTCTGGACTATAAGATTAACCACTCCCCTGTTTTTGTTATAAAACTTCTACCTTTACAGTTGTGACAGTTGCAATTGGTCATGATAACAATTACTCACTGTTGAATCATAAGAATTTTATCCCCATCTCTTTTACCAGACCCGTCTAGACAAGATGAAAACTATTCAGTGGCGACTCTTCCTTCCTCCACACACTATCAAACCAAACTCCCCCTTCAAACTTTGTAAGCCAGTCTCTTCGTGCCTTTATCGCCCCCTCATTTTAGGTAGCCAATGTCTGAGTGGCCCATCCCTATTTGCCCTGTGTACAGAGGGGATAGCATTGATACTTTACTAATATGGCCTTTCAAGACTGTTACTGGTGAGTGAGGAGAGCCAGAACTGACACCCAAGAAGTCTAAGCTACTAGACCAAAACCTTTTCCAACCTCCCTGTTATTTTTGAACATGAGCAGCCCATAAATTTTGGTCATTCCATTCTGCCCATGGTGGCATTTCTACTAGAAATGTATTTTATCTTCCTGATACGATTAAATCACTCTCAAATAACCACTTTGTTGTTGTTGTAGTTAGGTACCATCAAGTCGATTCTGACTCATAGTGACCGTTCACTGGGTCTCTGAGGCTGTGAATCTGTAGGGGAGCAGAAAGCCTCTTCTTTCTCCTGTGGAGCAGCAGTTGGTGGGTTTGAACTGGCGACCTTGCAGTTAGCAGTCCAGTGCTGATCCTACTGCGCCACCAGCGCTCCCAGTAACCGCTTTACTTAAGTAAACTCTGTGTGTTTTCTTTTGATGTTACAGAGCTTGAGACTTTGTGCAGAAGGTGCTGATAAAGATCTCTCCTTTATCATTCTTGGGAGTAGGCGGTGGAGGGTTCTGACAGTGGAGGTGAAAATGGATCTGCCTCAAAGCAAAGTCACCTTGGAAACTGATTTTACAAATGAAAAACAGTGCTCTAGTCAGGCCAGCAGTGGAAATAAAGGTCAGCAAGTAATAGTGTTAATATTTGTGTTGAAGAAGGCATTAATTTCAATTAAATCTTGCAAAAGATAGGACTTGAGAACATGCTAGCAACTGACATCTCTCTTTACTAGTTGTGAGTGTGAGGTAAATTGCTTAATCTCTACGGTCTTGTCTTGAAACTGTAAAGTGGATGATGACCATCCAGCCTCCCAGGATTAAAGGAGCTGCATGCAGAAAAGTGAAATATAGCCACTTTCCCTTCAGATAACTTTTGTTCCATTATGGGCATACCTTGTTCTTTAAGCTTCCCAGAAAAGTGGAGATAAATCTAACTTTATAGACTGTTTATGTGAATCATAAAAATTGGAAGGTGGGAGGTAAAAAGAAAAAGGATAAGCAGTGGACTGCTAACTGCAAGGTTGATGGTTCAAACCCATCCGCCGCTCCTCAGAATCTCTATACAAGGTCACTGTGAGTCAGAACTAAGTTGATGGCAGACACCGGCCACCTTTGAGTCGATTGTGACTCATGGAGGCCCCATGTGTTGCAAAGGAAAATGCACTCCACAGTGTTCTCAAGGCTGGCACCTGTTGGAAGCCAGACCTGTCTTCCAAGGTGCCTCTGGGTGGACTTGAATTGTCAGCCTTTTGGTTAGTAGTTGAACGCTTGGTCGTTTTCACCACCCAACAACCCCAGTGTGAGCCTATAGGATAGAGTAGAGCTGCCCCCAGAGGGTTTCCGAGGCTGAACTCTTTCTGGAAACAGATGGCCAGGTCTAACCACTGCATCTAGCCACCAGGACCCTGTCATTCTGGGAGTGGGATTAGAATGCTAACAGATATTTTGGAGAGACCAAGTTTAGTCCAGAACAAGGACAATAATACCGTGGAGATAGAGACTGAAACTAGATTAGGTTTGTCATGGATCGGGGAGAGGGTCTGCTAATGGGCACAGATTCCCGTTTGGGGTTTGAGGAATATCCTTAAAACTTATATAGTGTGGATGGTTTCACAACAGCTGTGAATACACTAAAAACTACGGAATCATACAAATGCAGCAGTAATAAGCGGTCTGCAGTGCAGGCTTTGTGGTTAGCACTCCAGTGCTTATCCTCCATTGGCACACCAGGATGCCAAGAGGTCTGGCGATACCATTTCTTTGCCACATGACTGTAGATCCCCACAACCTATCTGAGCCCTCAGTGTCTTTAGCTGTGAAAGGGGTGTCTTGGCCTGGTTTCCCTAGCGAAGCAAAACCAGTGGAGCTTGTGTGTGTGTGTGTGTCTGTCTGTCTGTCTACATACAGAGAGGTTTATAGCCAGGAAACGGCTCACTCAGCTGGAGAGGGAGGCAAATCCCAAGGACATTGGTCAGCGCCACACTGCAGGCTTCTGACTTACATAGCTACAGGGCTGACGAACCAAGATCCAGAGGTAAGAAGGCAGGCCGCTGATGTCTCTCACAGCATTTGCCCCGTCCTTTGACATAATAAATGCTCAAGGAGAAGTTGTTGAATTGAATACAAAGCAGTGGTTTTCAGGGTCCCCCAAAAAACCAAACCGTGGTACTGAATCAATTATGACGCGTAGCGAGCCTACTGGGCAGAATAGACTGACCTTGTAGGGTCTCCAAGGCTGTAAATCTTTACGGGGTCAGATTTCCAGGTCTTTTTTTCCTGTGGAGTGGCTGGTGGGTTTGAACCACTGACCTTTCAGTTCGCAGCCAAGTACTTAACCACTGCACCACCAGGGCTCTATCCCTTCATGGGCAGAAGGGCTAAATGTGCTCCTAAAGATGACCAGTATAGCCCTACACAAGAATGACTCTTGTCTGGTATGTCTGTGTTCATGCATGACAGACGTGTTTCAGAATGTGTATACCTTGGTCTTGCTATTTAATAACATTGTCAACAGAAGAATGGAGTTTTAATAAATAGCATCTTCTGAGTATATGATATGCACGTATTGGAAGAAGTGCAGCCAGAGTGCTCCTTGGAGGCCACGATGGCCAAACTTCGTCTCTCATACTTCGGACATATTGTCAAGAGGGAGCAGTCGCTGGAGAAAGATACCATGTTTGGTAAGGTGGAGGGGCAGAGAAAAAGAGGAAGACCCCCAACGAGATGGATTGGCCAAGTGGCAGCATTAATGGGCTCAAGCATGGTAACAGTAGTGAGGTTGGCCCAGGACTGGGCAGTGTTTCATTCTGCTGTGCATAAGGTTGCTATGAGTTGGTACCGACTCGATGGCACCTAACAACAACAATATTTAACAGCACAGGGACGTCCTTGGTCAGGATGAAAATACAGACTATGAAGACACATGAGTGCGGGCGGTAAGATGGAAATCCGGCAGCTTCAGGAAGGCAAGGACAGCTTGCTGCTCACTTTGTACTTCTGATGATGGAACAGACCGCACTGGATGTCAAGTTCAAGAAAGCCATGAGTGCTTCCACAGATTACCTCAAGAGAGATGTCAACAGGAACTTTTCCGCCATGAAAATGTGTTCCTACCCATCACTGTAGAAGATTGTCTAACCTTCCATAGATCGCTGAAGAAGTCCAGCTTCATTCCCTGAACATCTGATGAGCGCCTACTACAGGTAGCTCCCAGATTGTGAATAAGTCAGAACATTTGTATGTAAGTCAGAACAGTGAGATCCGGTATGTATCTGGTATCAGTCAAATGTTTGTCTTAGTATACGAGGGGCTTCCAAAATTTCATTATCTTTTAATTCCACTTTTCCACAGACTTTTCATGACACCCTCATATAATGCACCTTTCGATGCATAAAAACGTTAAAAAAGCATTTTCAAACATATTAAAACATCTTTAACATAGTAATGCAGTATTAACAATGTGTGGTGTACATCACAAAGTAACACCCGTTTGGGTACCTTGAATTTTGACCACAATAGTCCTGGTGTGGAATGCTAACTGTCAGGTTGGCAGTTCAAACCCACCAGTAGCTCCTTGGAAACCCTACACAGGGTCACTATGCGTTGGAGCCAACCTGATGGCACCTAACAACAACAGTAACAAGACTTTACGGAGATCGGTTTGTAACTCTGGTGCACGTAGCTGGACGTTCTTAACCCAGGGCCTGCCTGTATAGCCGCCCACCATGCTCAGTGTTGTGGAAACTGGACTATGGCGGCAGCGTTTCTCAGTCTTATTGACATTAATGCCCTCCCAAGGAGTCCTGGGGGGCGCTGTAGAATAAGCACTCGACTGCAACATCTGTTTGAACTGCAAGGTCGGCAGTTCAAACTCACCAGCTCCTTCTTGGAAACCCTATACAGGGTCACTATGGGTTGGAACCGACTGGACAGCACTTAATAACAAGGAGTCTTTTTAAATAATGCTTTCCTCATCATTGCTCCTGTCTCTCTGTGCTTTATACTTATTTCAAAAGGAATAAGCTTCTCTCCTCCCCACCAGCTGAACCAGTTTTTGTACCACCACCTTGGACATCCACATGGGAACCATTTCTTCATTAGACAGCAGTTTCTGTGATTCTTGGCTGGAGGAGATCTAAACATTTCAGAATCTCAACTGAAGTCCCCTTGGTACAGTCAGGGTCTGAGATCAATCTACACCTCCCTAGGAAAGCTGCATCGTGGTTCTAGGACGGAGGAGTCCAGAGAGGTGGCCTGGTAAACCCAGGGCGAGTCCTGCTTGACATTCAGAGTTTACTCTGTGGGTTCAGTGCTAGGTGCTGTGGGCCTGGGAACTCAAGTCTAGGTAAAGAAGGGCAGTGGACCATTGGAACCAATGACCCCTGCCCCCTGAGTCTCTATTCTGTGCCTTCTCTTGATCTCCCTTTTTGCTTTCTGCACTTCAGGCAGCATCCAGGATGTGGGAATATCGTGACGTTTGCACAGTTCCTCTTTATCGCTGTGGAAGGGTTCCTCTTTGAAGTGGATTTGGGAAGGAAGCGGCCAGCTATCCCAATAAGGTATGGTAGGGTAACGTCTTACAACTTGTTTTAGAAAAAGAGTTTTCCTGGTCCCCGGGTGCAAGGAACCTGGGGCGTCTTTTTATAAAATGTGTAGCAAAGATGCCAGTAGAATAATAATTCATCTCTGAGTTTCGTATGTTGTGAAACGCCAGTCATCCTACTTTTAGTAGGAAGTTCTTGCCTTAGAATGAACTGGGATGGACACAACCATATGTGTATCTGTCTAGTATGTATTATGTGTAGGCAAGTTGCTTTCCCCTCAGAGTGGCCCTACTGTGCCATAGGGTTTCCCAGGCTGTAAATCCTGGTGTGGCGCTGTAGGATAAGCACTAGACCACAAGGTCGGTTTGAACTGCAAGGTCAGTGGTTCAAACTCACCAGCTGCTCCTCTATACAGGGTCGCCATGAGTCAGAACCAATTCAACGACACTTAACAACAACAACAACAACAAATCTTGATAGGAGCAAGCAGGTTGCCAGGTCTTTTCTCCTCGGAGTCGTTGGAGGATCAGACTGCTGACCTTTCCGTTGGCAGCCTCTGAGGCTCTTATGTATTGCGCGGGGCCTAGCTGCCCACAAACGTTTCGTGATTGGACATCTGCTATCCTTGGTGTTGGCAAGGCCATCCGATGTGCAGAGCAGGAGCATTGTTCCTTTTTAGAATTGGATGGCTGGCCAGCGCGCAGTGGTCCCTTCCTTCCTCACCTCTGTCCAGTAGCCCAAACGTGCATCAGGCATGAGGCAGTTTCTAGAACCAGCTGTGTATTGAAAGCTCCTCATTCCTGCTCTGAAAGACTAGAGAGGAAGGTGTAGTCCACCCAGCATAGAGTCCTCCCTAAGATGCCCTTAGTCACGTGGTCAGGGGACTTCCTGACGTGGCTGTGGCTACATTCTCCAGTGAGGCCTCTTGGTGGCTGGTGGGAACTTTGTCAGCGTTCCCCAGGAGGCTGCTCTAGCAGACCCCACTGGATTCCAGTGTTCATATTGTACATGTACATACTGTGAATCACTTCCTATATAGGGTTTCCAAGGAGTGGCTGGTGGTTTTGAACTGCTGACCCTGCAGTTAGCAATCCAGTGCTTATCCTACAACACCACACCAGCGCTTCCCCCTGACCCTCTTTTCCCTCCCCCTGCTCCCTTTCCCATTCTGCCACCTCTCATACAGTTCAGAGACCCATCCACTTACCCTGAACTTTTATAGAAATCCCCATGCTGCCTGACCTCCCTCCTCCCACCTCTTCCTCCTTCTGCTTTCGCTTCCTGTTGTCCTCTCTGGCCAACAATTACTCAGTGGAGCCGTTGTGTTCAGAATGAGGTTCAAGCCCCCCACCCTGCCCTATGAGGTCCCCATGCGCCTGCCTTGCCAGCCACCCTCCCATCTGCCTTGTCCGTGGTGGCTGCTTTATTCTCTGTGGGCGACACTGGGTCACTCCTCCACATCATCAGCTCGTTCATGACAGTGCTGCGTGGGCAGAACTTTGGAATCAGTTGGCATTCATTCTCCTGGTAGACTTTGATGAGCCCTGTCTCCAAATGGCATCTCTTCAAGACTGAACTGAGAAAATTTGTTAAGAATCCTCGTAAAGTCATCACCGATAGCATGTTATTCCTCGATACAGTCAGCCACACTAGACCAAAAAGGCAGCGTTTGCCCCCAAACAAAGCTCACAAGGCAGGAACAAGGACAAATGGAAACCGGGAACCCGGGCAGGAAGCGGGACGAGGAGTTGCAGTCAGTGTCCCACAACAAAATGTGTGTAAATTGTTGAATGGAAAACCTATATGCTCTGTGAACTTTCACCCCAATTTATATGATATTACTTGCTGCTTGCAGTTCTGCACGTATATAATACTGCACGTATATAAAGTTTTATATACGTGCAGTATTTCACCCCAATTTATATGATATTAGCTGTTTGCTGGCATTTCTGCATATATATAATACTGTGTTCAGTATTCGTTGCAAAGCAATTCAAACTGCCTAGACTGTGTTCCTTCAGCCTGGCTTGGCTGTGTCTAAGGAGTCCCTGGGCACCAGTGGTTAAGCACTGGACTACTAGCTGAAAAGCTGGTGACCTGGCAGTCAGCTTCCGAAAAGCCACAGCCTTGAACACTCTAGGGAGGAGTGTGCACCCGTGGGGGCGCCATGAGTTGGAACAGACTCCACCACATCTGACAACATGGCTGCCTTTTAGGGCATACGGCCCTGTACCCAACACAGATGGGATAAAATTCTTGTCAGCGAACATACCAGGGCGTTTCAGAACGTTCCGTCTGAGATGGGGACTCCTGGCCATCTCATTCTTCAGATTTGCAAAGGTGGGAAAGGCTGGGGATTTGCATTGCAGAGACCAGCATTACCTGAAGGAGGATGGCACTATTACACGTAGCAGAAAGGGACTCCAGGTTTGAAACATGGATGTAGCTTTTCAGGGCCTTCCCTCTCTTCAGCATTGTCGGTCATCTAAGGATTACTCTGGAAACCTTTCGTTCCTTTTTTCTTTTAACCCTTTTTCCATAGACATCTCCGGGAGACTAAGAGCTCAGGAAAGACTTAGGGAAACGTTACTCGAGGCATTCCCCCAATTCCTAAGTCAAATGGCCAACCCACACCATCACATGGTTCTCTCCTGACCTGTCACTTCCTGTGCCCCGTCCTAGCCTGGAGCCAGTCTGCAGATGTTGTAGTGTTCTCTACTTTGAACATTGTCACTTGGAAGAAACTGTGAAATCCGTTAGTCTGTTTATGGAGAGGACACTGTGTGTGACGTTTAAGGAAACCTCTTTACAGACAGCCGTTGCAGACATTGTACTGCTCAAGAGCTGAGAGCAGCTCATGATTTCAGTCGTCTTGTCTCTTTCCTGCCTTGAAGCTAGAAATCCCACTTACCACAAGCCAACTGTATAGGAACTGGGGTCACCATTAAACTTCCCATGTTCTGTCTCCGATTTATGTCTGTCCTGCATCCATTGATTTTTATTTTAAATGGCACCTTTTCTCCGACGGCATGTATTAGCTTGGATCCTATGAAGTGGATGCTGTTCCTCTTTTTTGTTTTTTGTGTTTTGTTTTAAGGCTTTTATGTGGATTGAGTGAAAGTTTACAGAGCATATCATCAGTTTTATATTCAACAAATCAAATTACATTGATTATAATCCCCTCCATGTACCATCAGTTAACAGTATTTCTCTCTATCCACTTTAGCTTTTTTAAAAAAAACATACAACAAAAAAAAACCCACTCAGGCATATGTAATAATTTACATCTCCAAAGGGCACATTCTGCAAGTCTGCTCCTGGCCACCAGCTCTTAGTCCTTCTCTTCTTAGTCCATGAATCTAGAGTCCTCAGCCGCTCCCCCTCTCCATGCCCTCATCTCTGGCGCTGCTGCTTCTCTGGATAAGGTCCCGCATTCTGCTTGTGCATTCCTCTCTTGATGGTCCTAGGGTCTGGACTGTAAGATTAACCACTCCCCTTTTTTTGTTACAAAACTTCTACCTTTACAATTGTGAGTCGTGATTAGTCATGATAACAGTTAATCACTATTGAATCTTATGAATCTTATCCCTATCTCTTCAACAGATCCATCCAGACAAGATGACAGCCATCCAGTGGGGACTCTTTCTTTCCC